ATCTTTCAATCGCTGCTTAAATACAATTACAAAATTATCAATATTACCAACATCATGTGCTAGCCAAACAAAAGCAAAGCCATGTGAAAATAGGATGTTACGAACACAAGACACCCATTTGCATCACCTTGAACATCAAAATGTTTCAACATAGCATAACAATGTGTAACATATATATTTTCAGGCATTCTTATCATTTTAAACCTTAATGACACGCGTATAAATGTTTACATAAAATGGGGTACGTCCACACTCTCCCAGGGCATCTGCATTTGAAGTTCTGTAACTAACTTTTATAATATATTTGCAAAACTTACTATAGACTCGTTCAACTGGTTACTCCCCAAATTTCCGCACAGTAAAGTAAAATAGGTAAGATTTAACTGTCAAGCATCGGGGAAAAAAGTATCTATTGATAAATCAGGAAAACCATGAAACATTTTATGAATAGGGCCTAGGGCTTTATCTGCCTTTTATATGCTACATATAATTTGCTCAAACCAAGAGACACTAACCAGTTGATGAAGCCTTCTGCCACTGATGAATAGACAAGTGTTTCATGGACATGGATTCACAGTTTGATAGAAATGATTGATATGGTAATGCCATAAATCATTGTGATTACCAAAGATGTGTGCTGGTACAAATCCACTTATTGGTCAGAGGCTGTGTGCAGGTACAAATCCAATTTTGCATTAAAAAAGACAAAACGCCATCAACATGTGTATAGACAATGGTATTTAACAGCTTATGTTTACGTAATTCACAGCTCCTGGATTATTTGAAGTATTCCTAAAAAAATCCATCACTTCTGTGTGTATCTCCTGGATTACTTACAGTGTATATTTTTCGCGATTGCTGATTGTTTTTGTTTGTTGTTTTGATGTTGATTTGTTTGTTCGTCATTGTTGTTTTATGGGGTTGGGTTTTTTTTTCGGTTGTTGTTGCTGCTGTTTGGTTTCGTTTGTTTTGCTTTTGGGTGTTTGGGGTTTTGGGGGTTCTGTTGTGGTTTTGGGGTTGTTGGGGGTTTTGTGGTTTTTTTGGGGGGGTTGTTTGTTTATTGTTTTGTTTTGTTTGTTGGGGGTGGGGGTGGTTTTTTTGGGGTCAACGTGTACAGATTTAACAACAACATGTGTAATATACACTATTCTGAGGGGTACACAGAAACCGTGGTCTAGACTACCAGTTGTCCGACTTCCAATTTTGTGGAAGCCGTGGTAGCTGAGAGGGTTAGACGGCTGACTTTGTGTGCTGGCGATAAGGTGCCTGACTCTGAGGGTGTGGGTTCGAATCCCCGATGGGACTCAACCCAATACGAAGTACTAGAATCTGTACTTTAGTGGGAAAATGTAATGCCAAATTTATGTGTTAAACATACATGACGTCGGATTGGAAATAACTTATGAAAATAGTGTGTGTTAGCTGGACTAACACAACGAATCATGTGTTGTTGAAGTATGGAGGCTGAACGTTTAACACGATAACCAGGCCCACACACATCCAACACTGGCAAGCTCGCTGTTGTATGGAATCATCATATTCTATCCGTTTCACATACATACCGCACCGTTACCAGTGTCGTACGTCGCATAGGTCAACACATACATATGACTTTGCAGTATGTGAGATTCCAGCCAAATCACGCCTGGGACAACAGCAGACAAAAGGGCTATGTAGACTGCACCCTAATCTGTCTTACAGTCCCTGAACCACAGTATGTTCCCTAGCCCTCCCTGCAATGCTAATGCCCTAAAATAAAGCAAGTCTAGATTTCCTCAGGTTTATCTCCCATCTAACTGGGGCTCCTTTTTAATTTAAATGGGTCCATCTGTTTCTGTCAAAATTATATATTCAGAGACCAGCGTACATCTTTCAGGAAGCTGTACGCAATGCACATACAGATACAAAGCTGTATTTATGAAAGGGATACAAAGACTCAGTATCAATGACCGAAACCTGATCTATATATTTTGAAGGATGAACAGCTTCTCACCGGGTTGATGCGGAGATTCGAACCCTGGTCGTCAGCGTGACGAATAAACACTTTAACCGCTAGATTACGCTACTTTATTTAAGTGAAGGTTGAGCACCGGGAATATACAATATCTCGAAACGTCACAGGATTGCTGGTTCACTTGCACTGTTTATCATTGGATCTTTGCCCTGAATGTCCCGTAAGACGCTGTTGTCGAGTTTGGATTTTACAGTACGCAAACTAGATATGAATATTTTACGGGTTCTTGATTCAGTTTCAGTGTTACAATTAGACTTACCTCCCTTTGACCGTATACGTAAATACTGCCGTGATTGTTTAAATGAATTTCCTTAGACTTACGCTCAGTCTCGGAATACATATAATGTTGATTGTAACACTGACTGAATTTGGTTTTACGCCGCTTTGAGCAATATTCCAGCAACATCACGGCGGGTTGATTGTAACAAATTTAACCCTATTGAACCCATTTAAATTGAAAAGGAGCCTCAGAAAGACCAGAGATTCTGCCCGAACCTGGAGAAATCTAGACTTGCTTCATTCAGGGCTTTAGCATTGGCTGTTTGGAAAATAATCAGTTTAGGGACTGTGAGGCAGACTAGGGCTTCCTCATCTCCAAAATAACTTCTAGTCTCTTAAATGAACATGCTATGCTGAAAACACAGTTCCTAAGTTACATTCAGAATATATGATATACGGAGACCGGAGAGTTCTTCTTCATTTTGAGACTAAATAATTTTGCAGAGCTCTAATTGCTTGGAATTTCATCAAAAAGTTAAGGTTCTTATCACCTATCACTCATCAAGTATGTGTGTGACAGGAGTATGTATTGCCCCACCCCCTCTCCCACTAGACTCAACCTCCCATTACCAGCTCAGCAATTTACTGTTAATTTGTTCAATAGGGCCCGTAAGTCTCGCGAGGCGTTACTTCCGCTACTAGGTTTCCGGTGACAAGCGAGCACTCAAGAACCAGTTCTTGTGCCCAATTGCGCGACCGCCAAATATCACCTTACTAGACCGGACCAAGTGTACTACCATGCCTGGCTGTCACAGCTGGTGACAGTCGGAACAATTGGATCATTTTGGGACGATAAGATCGAAAAATAATTATTCATTCAAGGATTATCGGTTCCTTACTGACAACCATGAGTAAATTCGAAAACATATAATATATTTTTGACAAACAGTGCAGTTCTAACGCTAAACGTGTTTATTTTCAATATCGCGGACAGTGTTTGTCAGAAAATATATTTCGGGAATCAATGACATGACAGGGACGTATTTGAGCCAATTAATATGTATAGGCAAAAAGTTTAGAATGCAATTATTATACGTTCATACCCATGTTTTCAGCTTGTTGAAATAAATTCACAAGTAACATTTTTCTTTCAAATTTATCATTTCCTTTTTTCAATATTTTTTTTAAAAAACTATGTGTAGGCAATTGCCTTTTTGCCTATGTGGCAAATTGTGTGTTTGCCATGCTGTAAATATATTGATAATGACATATTGAAAAATAGCAGTTCTTGTAACATTATGTTTTTTTTTTTTAAATATAAATATATGAACTTTGCCATTTTTGGTGACATTTTTATTCACACAAGAAGTCATAGGGTCACAAATCAATCAACAGCTCAACAAAATATCCTTGATGGCATGGTTACAATTATTTCGGTTACTAATGTCAAAACAAAAATGTGAAAACCTTCAGCCATATGAATATTCATCATGACACAATTATTTATCAAATTATGTAAACATTATTTTAGTGGGGTGATATATAAAAACTGGTTGTTGGACAATATTAATTACACTTTGTACTAGATGTCGTGGATGTTGTCAACTATGTACTATGATCAACAGTACATGCGTGATACTTAGTTCTTGGTTATGCAGGGGTGAGGTTCTGCAAAAATGAAGCAGCACACGGCACCTTCAAGTCACAATTGGCAAAAATGCAAGACCAAATTTATTCAAATATCGAGTAATCACTCAAAGACATTTCTTTTTTTGTTAAATATACTAACATGGGGAAACTAAATGTGCATGTATACTATGTCATGACTGTAGATTCTGCAGACACTGGATGATAGCAGCATGAGCATGACTACTTGTCATGAAACAGTGTTTTTCACCCATTTTTAGTAACTTATATATTCCAAATATTCTGCCATTGAGGCCAAGGTTGGTAACTGGCATTCCATATTTTCCAATATACAGCTAGACCAATATGTTTTAAAATAATGGAAAAGAATAATGTGTACTGGAGATTGTGCTATGAACCAATGTTGTAATCTTACAGCAAATATAAACAAAGAATTTCATATTTCAACAAAAAAAAACATGGCATGTAGAAATACATGCCTATGCCATTGATTAAGTTTAATTGTCATTGGTAAGCATGTTTTTTTCATGGAAACTGTGATAGTAGGGTAACCTAGTGGTTAAACTGTTGACTTGTCACACTGAAGGCCTGGGTTCGATTCCCCACATGGGTGCAAAGTGTGAAGCCCATTTCTGCTTTCCCCATCATGATGTTGCTGGAATATTGCTAAAAGCGGTGTAAAACCCAACTCTCTCATTTGGAAACCTTTGCTTTATACACTGAAATTCTAATCTCATACATTCATCATTATATATTTAATGTCAAATCTATGTCATGGCTAAAAGCAGAAATCTTCCCAACCATTCAATTTGTGCTTTCTTTATCCACACTTAATAAACAATCAACAATTTTTAGAACTATTCTGCAATTTTATTCCAAAGACATAATTACTCATAACATATCAAACATTCTTTGCATTTCCCAGATACTGTAAGAGTATGAACTGGAATATTTTCATGTTCACTCATCTAAATTCTCACTGATTTATCTGACAGTCCTAAGATATCACAAGAAGTTCCACAACACTTTGGTGATGACAAGCATTTCCTGTTCAAGCAAGTGTCCAAAGGATTATGTGTAGGCCTTTAATATGTATATACAACACTTCAGTGACTTGCAATTCATTGGCAATGTATTGCTTGAACACCAGATGTTAAAAGAAATCTGAAGATCTGTTTCAGTTTGTGTTGCTCTTGATGTCAATGGTAATTGTGGTGATCTAATAATTCCTCCTCCTTTCTCCTCGTAAAGGTGTGCTTCTGTTGCAACTGAAAAATACATAATACATGTGAGACCAGGTATGGTATACTTAAAAAATGTAAACAGTTCCTTACAGTGTTGACACCAAGATGTTATTGATAAATTTAGCATGTGGATGTTATGTTTACCTGAACATGCTGCACCATAAACAAATGCTAAATGGGTTTTTAATAATCAACTGCAAGATACATTATGTATTAACACAGTTCCAGATAAAATGTTTTATGCACAACTTTACCAATATTGACCCAAATAATATTTTTTTGAGATTCCAGAATAACTTTACATTGTTATGGATAAACTTAATTGATATTTGCCATGATGAATTACGTAAGTTTTAATGAATATAACAAATGCAAAATCCAATTGTAGTGAGTGGGTGAGATAATATTTATCGTCACATTGGCAATATTTCAGCTATAGATATCGTGATGAGAACAATTTATTATTATAGATCAATACAATTAGAAATTAAAAGTCTGTTGTCGGAGAACAGTAAAACTGCTAGTATATCACATGTATTAAAGTAAAATTAGCACGCTATCATAAAACGATATTATTAAATAGAACAGTACAATAGAAACGCGGGCTAAAGGTTGCCAACAACTTAAGGTAGATGGGGACGGGAACTTTCAGTACTTTTGCTACCGGCATGGACCCGAACTGGATTTACATCTTCCCCTCAGCTGTTGACAGTTTAGACATTAATTTAAACGAACATATAAACTATGATTAAAAATGTGGTGACATTAAACATACTTTGAAAGACGTGGTCTTACATACCCTCTCAGGGGGACAATAAAATCCCACTGTAAGAAATTGAATGCAATCAAACGATTCACCAATCTGCTCACATGTCAACTCCACCCTTACAGTGCGTGTCATGCTTAAACTATGCCAGCCTTTAACAAGAAATCCATGTAACAAATAAACTTACCTCGACTAATTGCCAGCCTGAAGACGACGCGGTGACAACTCTCCAGCTGTTTGGCAGGTATCCACGTGCTATTCATGCAGCATTGCCTTAGTGCGTTTATAGTCTGGGCATGTGACATGACATAGTTTTCTGAGTCACATAGCGAGTGTCGAGTATGATTATCCACGGCATGCCCAATGTAACAGTGTTATCGCCATTGCCGAAAAATGTTGTTTGTCACCGGAAGTACTAAACAACGTAAAGTCTCGCTAAGGGCCCTATAATGTACTTACGGGCCCTATAATGTACATCCCAACTTCTAAAATGCCACTTAGAGAAGCTATTTTGATGTTGTCTGGCTCTTTTTCTTGTTGTCCTCTGCTGCTTTTGCTTGCAATGCGCATGGGGTTATGGATTCAAAATCAGCAAATTTGACAACAAATGATCTTGTTGTATATATTTCTTTTTTTCTTAATGCCAAAGAAAAAAGAATAAATTTGTCTTTTTATTTTGTTCTTTTCCATACACAGATTTCCCATAGCCACTCGTACACAGGCAGAATAAAGCAGAATCCAAGTTACAGATGTGTTTGTCTTTGTCTAAATATGAACCAATCTAGATTTATTGTAAACCGACAGACTCAACTTTAAATCACAGTACCACGTGAAAACATGAAGCTGCCCTTACATAACATAATAAGCGTAAACAACCATCGTTAACAAATGAACAGTGATTTCTTTTGTCTTGTATAATTTTGGTTCACGTTAAATAGAATTGGAGCATTTGTTCGGATGGGCAAAATCAAAGCAAATTTTAAAGTTTAGTTTAAGGTGGACACGTGATCTTTATTGACAAAAAATGATGGAACAAACCATGTAGATCTGTGCATAAAGGTTCAATTGAGTGACGATACAGTGTACCTTAACACTGGGTTGGGTTGGGGCGTTTTGTTTAACGCAGCACTCAGCAATATTGCAGCACGATGGCGGCGGTCTGTAAATAATCGAGTCTGGAGCAGATAATCCAGTGCTCAACAGTCATGAGCATCGATGTACGCAACTTGGATACGATGACATGTGTCAACCAAGTCAGCTAAGCTGAGCACCGTTTGTCGCCTCTTGCGACAAGCATGGGTTGCAGAAGATCAATGCTAACACGGTTCCTAACACTGTATGACATGTATGTTTTTGAATAATCCAGTTGCTTCAACTATTCGTGTCTTCATTTCCCAACTGTTATAATCGGCAAATTCCTTCTCCTTCATCCTACGTTTGATAATATACGTGTGCATCGTAGTAAATAAATTTCTGAAAAAGATTTCAAAACGGTTCATTGTAAGCATATGGAGTTCTTTTTCGAAATTCGACACGTAAGAACAAAATTATGTTCAAGCAATTCCCTATTTTACCCTAATGCTCCAGTGTTTGTTCATGTGAACATCTGACTTGCCTGTACATGTGTTTTTGACGGGGTGCCTTTTACCATGACCTTTTAACTGATAGTGATTCATAAACATATGATGATTGTATAGTGGGAATCACACTAGGAATTCTGCTGGTGGGACTCTGGGAGAAGCCCATCTCTGGTGTCTCCGCCGTGATGTTGCTGCTCTGAAACCGCCGTACAATATGACTCACTCACTTACTAACTCAGATATTAACGCATTAAAGTGACCTAATGTTGTGCTTTGTTTCATACACTTTTATGAACATGATACACTTACCCCCACAGACAATATCCTACGAATGTACAACAACGAGGCTTATACTCTACATTTCTGTTGCAACACATCCATATCTATGATGCACTAGTTAGACCGCCTCCGTGGTGTAGTGGAAAGTTGCAGGTTCGATCCCCGACTGCGTCATACCAAAAGACGTTAAAATATGGTACGTGTTGGTCCCTGCCTGGCGCTCGGCATTAATGGGTACAACAAGAACAGGTCGGCTCGAAGTTAGTATAATGTGTCTGAGTGGAGTAGTCATGCTAAACTGCGGCATAGTATCTCAGTGGGCTAGCACTATAAAACCAGCTTCAGTCTTGGCTAGTACAGGCAGCCGCACATACACATACACACGCATGCACGTCGTCATATGAGCGAAATTTTCTCAAGCACGACGTTAAACCCAATTTCACCACACCTCACTAGTTATTCTGTACGTATCTTTCTGTACAATCTGTCAACAGCTTTAGAATGACTAACACAGGTACACAATTTGGGCTCAGTAGAGCATGATTTGTTAGGTAACGCCCTCTCCTTGCCTCACAGTATGTCCACGTTTCTACCAAGACTATGCATCTGAAACAACCCTCCTTCGTTGTATAACTCAACCCTAACACCCACCTCTTGCACACAACCACCCTATTTGTGTATTCTGTGCAGTGAAATAGCATCAGTCTGCTTGAAATGAGATTGTGTTGAGTGTCTGACTTGCTGTCTTTACAGGTGACATCAGGTGTGTCTTTACAGGTGTATCTGGTCATTTGTCACAGCGTTCAAACTTATTCGGGGTATGGGAAATTCAGTCGTCTCCCGCAATTTACGTGGTAGAAAAAAAGCTCAAGGATTCCCAATTTCAGGGTTCGAATCCAAACTGAAATGCTAGATGATGACTGTGTGATAAACATGAGATACTAGATATTTAAGTATCAATAGAGTAAGGACCTTATTCTTTTCAACAGACAGTAATTTTAATGCTGTCATTTGACTTCACTTAATCGGGTTATAATATATGTGGACAAAAGAACGCAGACAAATATGTCGGTTTAAAGTCATGATCGAGTACCTTGTTATATTCAGTACGTATGCAACGCACATTTATTTCGGTGCTAACGGCTGTGTTGAACCTAACTTAACTAACACTGACCAACACATAATCATTTGGAAAATAGAAAAATGATTTGTGCATAGTCCCTTGACAATGCGGACAAACATGTTTGACAACAGCTTGGGTATTTCTGGGAAAATATCAATACCGAGGAGAGATGTGTTTGAGGACCTTACACAGCGTCGTTCCGATCCTTGCAGCTTGAATATCTACAGAGAGCTAGAAAGTTCTAGATTACAAGTTAGAGAGCTAGAAAGTTCTAGATTACAAGTTAGAGAGCTAGAAAGTTCTAGATTACAAGCTATAGAGCTAGAAAGTTCTAGATTACAAGCTATAGAGCTAGAAAGTTCTAGATTACAAGTTAGAGAGCTAGAAAGTTCTAGATGACAAGTTAGAGAGCTAGAAAGTTCTAGATTACAAGTTAGAGAGCTAGAAGGTTCTAGATTACAAGTTAGAGAGCTAGAAAGTTCTAGATTACAAGTTAGAGAGCTAGAAAGTTCTAGATTACAAGTTAGAGAGCTAGAAGGTTCTAGATTACAAGCTATAGAGCTAGAAAGTTCTAGATTACAAGCTAGCTAGAAAGTTCTAGATTACAAGTTAGAGAGCTAGAAAGTTCTAGATTACAAGTTACTAGAAAGTTCTAGATTACAAGTTAGAGAGCTAGAAAGTTCTAGATTACAAGTTAGAGAGCTAGAAGGTTCTAGATTACCTGTGATGTTTAGGCATGCGTATATAACAGTGAGCAGCCTTCTACCCATGATAGAGTCAAAGTCAAAGATATTTATTGTACTTAAGGCCTCCGGCCCATATACAAGTACTACAAGTATATATACAGCACATGTTACAGACATTTCACAAAGAAATTACAGTTCAGATAAGAAATTGCTTCTAAGGAAAACAGCATGTTTTACATAAAGCGCAAGATTACGTATTACATTTTCATTTTTGGAGGATGGAATGGAAGCAAAGGCAGATGAAGGATTTTAACAGGTAATTATTTGGGATATATATTTTTTTCTTAAATCAGCATAATGTGAACATACAAAAGCGAAGTGAATTTCATCTTCTATAGCCGAGTTACATAAGGGACATATCCTTAAACGTCTCTCTATTGAAAATCGTCTGCCCTTATTTACTGATAAGTCTAACAAGCCCAATTGAAAATTGACAAGTGTGCGTCTGATATTTCTAGATGTCAATACAGATAGATATAGTTCTGGTTGAATAAAGCTCTTATGTCATCTATACAACTGGTATCTTGAACTATTGTCTAGACAGGAATGCCATTCTTGATAATACATGCTAACAGATTTTTCTCGAAATTGCTTAAGAAAAAGATTAATATTACCAACTGTTTGAGTTGAGCCACACAAAATCAGTCAAATGCCACGAAAACATCACCTGTGCAAACTAAATGTGAGAAAACAATGTCTCCCAATGCTTTTTTTTATTTTGGAATATTGCAATATGTCAATAAAGATGTCCCTTTAATGTCTGTGTCTAAGGGTGTCTCTACAAGTTTAAGGTTTTATATACTAATAATGATAATACATATTGAAACATGTTTCAGTCAATCTGTCAAATAAATCGACTAATTTTTCACACAATTTACAAATTGACTGAGTGAATCAGGCAATTTACAAATTGACTGAAAACTTCATACATTTATTTTACACATTGACATATAGACGTACAGTGGCGTTAATGCATATGAGTCATTACATGAAAAGCATCACAGTTTAAGATCTGCAAGTAGTTCTTCATTAAAAGTTGAATACTAATGTATTGAAAGTTCATATTATTTGTCTGCACAGATAACACACTGCATGCATTATAATCAGGACTGTCAGAGAAAAATGTTAGTTACAAGGAGTAGTATAAACAATGGGGGTACGGGACCAGCCTTTATAAGGCAAGGAATCAATAAGTATCTATTCCTAACTCATATTAATTTTTAAATCCATAACACAACTACTTTTCATCTCCCCTGTAAAAGTATGCATAGTCTTACTCGAAAGACTATTTGGTACGCGACCATAAACCCATAACATAACTACTTTTTATTTCCCCTGTAAAAAGTATCCATGGTCTTACTGGAAAGATTCAGACTATGGCTACTTTTCAGGGGAGATAGTAACCATAGTCTTACTCGAAAGAGTAAGACTATGGTGTATGGGTCACCATATATAAGGCAAGCAATCAATAAGTATCTATTCCTCAATTTGTAAACCCATAAGATTACATCAATTTAAAATATTGACTTCAGCAAAACAATTTAACGTGTATCTTCTATGATGTCTTTGGTTTTCGTAATAAATGCTTGTTTGGCTTGTTGTATCCCTTGGTTTATGTAAAAAAAATTCTCGTTCTCGCCGATAGCAGAACTTTTTTGATGAAACTTTG